GTACTAAATATTTTATATTTCTGACTTATTTTTGGTGTATTTTTAATAAATTAAACATAAAAAGAAGAAGATGAATTGTGTCTTTGTGGCAGGCTGCTGAAAACCAAGTGTCTAAAGATATTATTTAAATGATTTCAGCTGTCTGCTTTGTGTTGAAACACCATTTCATCMTTTGTATTTGGAAGCCTTTTTTAACTCGCTGAAAAAAATAAACGAAAAAACAATGATATTTGTGTGTGTGTGCGTGCTCGCATTTGTCTGAAGCACTAGCAAAATATCTCATGAACCACAAAATGAGTTTTAATGAAACGCTGAGAAATTAATCATTAGATGTTCATCTACAGCTGATTAACTTTTGGAAACAAGCCAATTTAAAATAACGACCACAGCAAACTGACCTTAAACATTAAAATAGCCATGACTCAGTCAGAAATATGCTGTGGTAGGTAAGCATCATGCCAAACACAAACTATGTGCTACAACATTGCACAGTTTGTGTGGTTTAAAACTTTGGCAGACACTAATGAATTATTTCTTGTCCATCTACAGCTGATTAACTTTTGGAAACAACACGGTTCAAGATGCCCGCCACAGCCATTAAACTTTAAAGAAACACTAACATTTTACAAATACTGAGTAGAAATTTGATGTGTCAACTAAAAACACAACATTAACGCATCTAAAAAAATCTCAAAATGCAGGAAGGAGGTGGCTGCAGCTGAGGTGAGGTGGGCGTGGCAGGACTGAGGAGCAGAGACTAAAGGCTGCTTTATGCTTATGATTGTCATGTCTCGTTTCCAGTCTTGTGTGATGAGCTCTGTTTACATTGGTCAGAAGAGCTTTGTGGGCGTGTTTAAACGTCACAGCAGAGCAACCTTCTGCATGACTGCTTGTTAAATTATCAAGATGGAACATGCTGCTGACGTTCACAGCTTCTTTCAACCTTTGCGGTTGACCGAAACAGTTTCCTCCAACTCCTCATCCAAACAGAGCCTCTCTTTAAACGTCTGATAATCATCTTTTTAAGAAAACATTATCTATTCTTCTGTCACTGTTGTTGTTTATATGTTTTGCTGTGAAAGGTATTATGATGATTTGTCTCACATGTCTTCTTGACATAATCACTGATCTGTCTCACCTCTTGTTGAAGCATAAGCCAGCCTTATCTGTGGAAAAGTACTGGAAGAAGTCACTGGTGGCACAGAGGAACAAACAAATACAAACACAAGGCAATGGAACAATGAAACAAAGAAACAAATACTAACTCCAAAAAACACAAAAACAACCAAAAACCACAGATTGTGACATCTAATTTAAAACTCTGACATGACAGCCAGTGATATGCTTTCCTTCAATGAATGTTAGGCCTGAATGATTCGCAGGTCAGAATTAAAATGATTCAATAAACAAACACAAGTTTGTTTGAAAACGGATTCAAAAAATAGTGGAAAGGGAGAAAAATAATAGTTTTGGATCCTCAGGAGCCTGAAGGCACCACTTTCAAACAATATTAAAAATATGTTTGACTTGTAAAAAAAAATTAAGAAAATACTTCTAAAAAGTTTTGAACATGGAAACGTTTAAAATAAATCATTTGCCTGAGGAAAACTTCGCAAAACCGTAGGAGTTACCACAACTTCATGTGTCAGTATTCTTCTGTTTAATTACTGTATGGCTCAAATGTAAATCTAATCTTTTAGAGGTTTTAATATCCATGCTTGTGTTTTGTTTAGGGTGTTCCTGGAAGTCCCGGCTCACCAGGCAGAGATGGCCCACCMGGACTGAGGGTAAGAAACCAGACCAACGTTCCTTCTGCTTCTCACTCCTGCTTTGTGCACTTTGGGATTAAGGAGACTGCACAGTATTCTGTCTGTTAAAAACAAGAGGGCTTTGTCATTGCTTTGAAATTAATGTTAACTGCCTATGAATTCCAACATATTTAGCAAAAAAATTAGACAAGATGCATTAAATYAAAAAGTTCAGAATAACTTACTACATATATATATATTTGGTTAAATGTTGGGAAAAGTGCAGCCTGTGAAGTAAAAGTCAAATATAAAATGTCAAATGTTTTGGCTGGGTGCTTTGGGTTGTTATCCATCTGCAGTATGGAAACTCACCCAGTGTTTGGCAGAATCTGAGCAGATTTTATATCCCAGTTCATCTGGCTGGCTCTCCCATCCGTCACGTCATCTATAAACACCTGTCACTTTGCTTCAGGTTGATCTGCTGCTTCAGAAGTACACTTAACAAAAATATACATTTTTTTGAAGAGGTTTATTTGGCAAAAAGTTTTTTTGCATCTGTGTTTGGACTCAGATGTTCTCTCTGTGGTAGACTTGGATAATGATTTGTCTACCTGCTGGAAAGCTTTCTACACTTGTCAGGATGTCATGAGAGGGGTTTTCATTTATCATGCAGATAATCCTGTGATCTACCAAAGTTTTCTCCTGTGGATGTCCAGGTCTGTGTGTGTTGCTGAGCTGTGAGTTACAGTTATTTCTTTGGTTGCTTCTGTAGCCTAAAAGTGTCTCATTCTGCTGGCTTTAAAGGGATCCATGATTACTTGCAGCATTAGACATTATTTGATAAACATTTATTTTAACTGTAAAACAAAGACTATAAAAAACTGTAGGCTGTTTAGTTTTATTTTTATTATTTTTGAAAATATATTTTYCACACAGACAGCACCATTTTATTAATGCTGCAAAGCATATTGGGTAAATGAGGACGTTCTCTAGGTTCTTAGAGCAAGGCTGCGGCTCTTATTCACCCTGAAGGTTAATCTTGGACAATATCTGAGAATTTCAACTATTTTAAATTGTAGGGGGTAGGCTTAAGGTGAATTAAGCCTTTCTACATATCTCTCATAAACAAGGTTATGAGGAAAGTTTCACCAAGGTATTTTCTCATTACTTTAATATCTTGACTGTGCGAAGTGAAAAATGGCACAATAAGGGAACATTCAGACAAGTTCAAGTTGATTCATAAAGACTGTGCAATCATTTATTTACACATATTGAACAGATCGTCAATACACCTGATTGTGGTTATTCCTATAACAAGCTTCAAAGTTAAATGAGATAAAACTCGCGTCCGAATTTTAATTCACATTCACATTCACAATTTAATTCACATCAGATTACTTATATATAGAACAGTAAAACGTCAGTTCTGATGTAACAACCAAACAATTCTACTGGCACTGTCAGTTTAAGTTTTGGCAAATAAAGACAAGAACAGGAGGAAAATAAGATTAGTGTTCTACTACTCTTATTTTGTCAAGTGTGTGGTACAACCRGATCAGCACGTCCCTTCTGGGCTTTGGATTTCCACATGACACGTCACCCGGAACACACTCAGCTTTTACCTGGTGCTGCCTTCTTAACCAAACCCTGGGTAGTCACTGCTTCACCTCCGATCAGTCAGGGAATGTTTTAATCGGCCCGCTCACTGTTCTTCAGCGAAAAGGTGTTATTTCGGACAACTTTTCGTCTGTTTCGATCCTCGCCAGAAAGATTCAAGCTGATGCATCCGGTTCCTCCTTTCAAAATAAAATCTCCCCTCGGGAGGTAAAACACTTGGAGACTTGAAGTCTCGGGTGGGACATTCGGCGGCGTGCCGCTGTCCCGGCCGTTGGATCCCCCTAATTGGCTTATGGGCAAGACCTAACAAGCCAAGCTGACTTCTCCGGAGAGAAACTCAGCCTTCCTTCCCAGTTTGGCATCCAGGAAGAAGTGTTCCGTCACTCAAAGACGTCCGGGTTAGTAATAGATGCGGACGACTTTGGTTCCGCCCTCAGGCGTAAAGATGAGTCAGGAAAAAGAAGAAAGATAAGACTTGCCAGCCAGGCGCTAGCTCAAGGCTAAAATTCTGTGGTTGTCACAACAGACTATGATAACATTTCTTTTCAACTTTTCTTCTGATAGACTCTAAGAGAAATCACTGCAAAACATTTATGATGATTAATTAACATTTCTGTTTA